AAAAAAAAAAAAAGCTGGCAAGAAACAAGCCAAGCTAAGGCCATGCATTCATAATTAAGAATAAGCCTCCATGTGTGATTTATTTGGGAGCTGGGTAATAGGCCCACAAAGAAAGAGTAAGAAAACAACCAACAATATTCAACTTAGACCTCTGGCATGCACATGTCAACAAACATACATGCACACATATTGACATACAAACACACACAGGGCATACAAAGAATGTGTTAGCTGTGTTGCTGCGCTGGACAATCCTAAAGTTTTAAGCAATTTAAAACATAATGGCTGTTTCTTGAGCATGCCTTTCTTGAGACTACAAGTGGTTTAATGGAACAGATTGATGCATTCTGGATGTCTTCGTTATGACTGGAGTGTCACCAATCTTCTAAAGGGAAAAGAAATGTCAAAGATTACTTTTTAAAACTTGCTGAGCTTTTTTTTTTTTTGGCAGGGTACACCAAAGCATCACATGTATTAAAGAGTCAAAGTAGTGTAATCTCTATGCCAGCGGTAGAGAAATAAAACAATTTTTAAAATATTAAAATTCATTGTAGTAATTTGCATGTATATGTGTGTGAATGTATGTTCACACATGCATGAAGTCAAAAAAGGGCTTTAGAGCCGGGCGGTAGTGGCTCACGCCTTTAATCCCAGCACTTGGGAGGAGCCTGCCTCTGCCTCCCATCCTTTAGAGGTGGTGATGAGCTGCCTGACATTGGCACTGGAAACTGAACCCAGGTGCTCTGGAAGAGCAGCAAGTGTTTGTATCCACTGAACCATTTCCCCAATCCCCTAAAATATTTTAAACCAGCATTAACAAGCACTAACAAACACCAAGCCCTAGGCTTACTGTCTACAAAGCTGGATTTTTTTTTTTTACTATCGTGGATATCTGATACTTTGGCATACCTTGATCTTCCTCTCTGGCCACTTTCACCCTGATGCTGAAACATTTCAGGATGAAGAGTTTAATGAATAACCTCTGCAAAGCAATATGCCAGTGTACTAATCTATTTGTTTATTCCTATCATTCAGACTTCGTATTGACTACTGCATACACTCTTAGAGCTGAGGGATATAAGGTAGCAGAAACAGAAGGGGAGAAGGCAACAGAACTTTAGAACTTGTGACTAAAGCCATTAAATAACATCTTGAATTCATAATGATACAGTTCTATGCTGTCCCAGGTTTCAACTTAAGACTGAAAGACAGCAGGGTAAAGACAATGTTGAGTCATAGTCAAACTCAACAGTACTATCAGTTTCCCTATTTTCTGTCCTTAGTTTTATGTCTTAGACTTCACCTGTTTGGGCTGAGACCTTGAAAGTATACAGTCTATGTACTTGCTACACTTTTAATATTATATACAGATTCCAAAATATACCTTAGGTTTAATATGTTTTTTTGTTTTGTTTTAGGTGAGTGGTGGTGGGTGATCCAGAATGGTGTCAAATTTACTATGTAGACAACTCCAGCCTAGAATTGGCAGTGATCCTCCTGCCTCAGCCTACTGAATTCTAGGACCATAGGCATGTGTCACTACTCCCGCCTTAAAGTTATTATTTTTAGAGTTTATCTGACCTTTCTACTAAAATGGTCTGATATGGATCCTTACGTGGAGAAAGTGAAGCCTAGAGGTTTAGTCTTCTGGGATTAGTTATGCAGCATATGATTCTAAAATAAGGAAACCTGAATTTGAACCTGTATTTCTCAATTCTAGTTTTAAAAAAAAGTGGACTCCTCCCAGTTCAGTGCCTTTGGATAAGTTACCTAATCTTTCTGAGGTTTAGCTTCCTTTTCTCTCCAATACTGATAAGAACGGTAATTACACCATAGATTTAGAATTAAGTGAGAATACAGCCACCCTTCTGTGTCTGAAGATCCGACATCTAATGATTCAATCTACCACAGATTGGGGCAGGATATATCTGTATTGCACATGTATGTACATTTTCCTGTGTTATTTCCAAAATAATGCAGTGTAACAGCTATTTGTGTAGCGTTTATTTCATATCCTGTATTAAAGGTAATCTAGAGGTTATTTAAAGAATGCAGGAGATACATGTAAATTAACCGTCTCTAAGTAATGGTTCCATTTATACCGTAAAAGTACCTTCCTGTAACAGAACCTTGAATATCCCCGTCTCCTAATTTCTCGCTCAGTATTTTTCCCATTGTGTGACGAAAAATGTTTCTTGCAACCGAGCGCACAAAATCAGCGCCCAATGTGTGGACTTAACTCAGAAAAGAAAGCCAAAACAAGAGCCTTCCGCGGGCCGTCAGAGCTGCGCCTGCGCGGCCCCCCGCTCCATGCAGGACGCCTGCGCGTGAGCCCTCCTCCTCCTCCTCCTCCTCCCCCCTCCTCCTCCTCCTCTCTCCCCCTCCCTCCTCCTCCC